GGGTAGGCAGCTGGCTTGCTGACTTCCCACTGGCGAATCAGCACGGTTGGTCTCTCTCCAGGCATATTTCTCTTCTATCTCATTCAGGAGAGACTAGGTACTGGGCACAGGAAGCATGACAGTGTGCTGAGACTACCTTGCACATCCCTTCCTGAGTTTTATTTTGTTTTGTTTTGGTGTTTTTGAGATTAAAAAGGCAAATTTTATTATCAAATATAACAATCTACAAAAACTAAGTAGTGTTGCATCACTGTCTATATCAAAACTTTGGACAGACAGCACTTTAAGGCATCAAGCACAAAGAATTTCTGATTGTTTAAGTGCCAGTTTTCACACAAAATGGGGATTTAGTTTTGTTTTTCTTTTTTTGCCCCTATTCAAGTTAAAGGGACGTTGTTAGTCAGCTGAAGAGGGAAATATTTAACTCAGGTGTTATAGTAATGCAAACTAAAATTACCAGCCACATGAATCTGCGTGGCATTGCATCCAAGCAAAGGAAAAATGGAGTAACATAAAATAATACATGTGCACTTAGTTAATTAAATCCTGTTTTAACTCTTTGGAGTTACATGAGGCAGCAGTATTAGTTTTAGCTGGTGTTTAATATTGTACTTTTGTAGCATAAACACAGCTAAACACATAGTGCTGAATGTTAATAGTCATCAGTATCTACTTACAAACCTCTAAGTTTAACATGCTGACTATAATTCTATGTTTTTATTAAGTTTTAATTACTTGACAGTTAAGTCAATGGAAAAAGAGTTTAAGGCTATCTTAGTATTTACAAGCATTCACTTCAGTTAGTATATTGCCTTCTAGAATAGTCTCATTATGTGACATTAAAAACTATGCAATTTTTCTTATTAAAGTCTAAAGCATTAATAATGAAAAAAAGTATAATATAAAATAATATGTACAAAGCCATAACATTCAGTTACAGTTCAGACTAGAAATTACTAACAACATGTAACTGCTTCATTTTTGGCCCCTAGTTCTGGTAGCGTAGTGGTTACGAATCGGGCTGCGAACCTTAAGGTCAGCGGTTCGAAACTACCAGCCGCTCCGCGGGAGAAAGATGAGGCTTTCTACTCCCGTAAAGATTTACACCCTCGGAAACCCTGTACAGGGTCGCTATGGGTCGGACCCGACTCGATGGCACTCAACAACAACAGTTCATTCTTAAACTGGTACATGCTGACAGAGAGATGCAAGTTTTGAATTATGTGTGCTTTGTATAGGGGTCACCATTGCTTCTACCTTATCCTATGGTGCTTAACTATGAGATATAATGGCCAAAAGATTGAGGATATTAAAGTTTTGTTTCATTTCTTTTAATAAATTTGTGATTTAAGTATTCCAAGATCATATTCTTGAATTACTTATTTAGCAAGAGGCATAATTGTGCAGAAGACAAGGAGATGGCATGAAAAGAGTGGGAACACACAAAAATAAAGCTTCCATAACAGAGTTCATTGTGGAGTTTGTAGATGTGAGTAGTGTATATTTTTTTTCTTCTTCAAATACCTAAATCTTAGGAAACATCTGTGATGCTACTTTAGTTTTATAAGTAATGGAGCCGTCTGATTTCAAATTCCCATTTTAAATGCCTATTTACAATCAGCAAGGAGCCAGGTATGCTGCATACTGCTTCCTAAAAGGATTTGGCTTCATCGGCTCAAATTTCTACTCCACCAAAAGATTGGGCACTGGGTCCTTCATCCAATCATTTTTTTGCTGAAAATACTGCAGCCTGAGTATAGACAAACTTCCCCTGAAGTTGCTAGAAGTTTTCTTGTGACTGATAATACCAGGATCACCATATATCTTTCAAACACTGGGATAGTATGCTGTATAGTTCATGAAGAGCTGAGTGCCTGCTGGATAGTAAGCTGTGGAAAGCTGGATGGTTTGTGGATTCAAAAGCACAGAGGGCTGATAAATGGCAGCTTCCACAGGAATAACTGCTGTAGGAGCTGGAAATGTGTGGGAAGGAGGAGACAAGCATGGTAACTTACATGGCGGTGGGGATAAGCCATGTCGGGTTTAAAGTGCCCCACATTAACACAAAGTTCATCTCCTCAGCTTAACACTGAAAGACTTCAACATATCTGTCCCTCGTGGTTTTTTTATGACACTTCTGTGCAGCCATAAATGCTCTGTCGATAGACTTCATCTGGATGAAGGCATCTCCTGACAGGCGGCCCTGGTGATTCAATACCATATGAGTCCCGTGAGTTTGAATATTTGCAAATAATTCCCCCAAGAAGTCCAGGATGTTCTCAATTGTGGCTGCATATGGAAGACCTCGAAGGTGTATACAGTCTCTAACATTTGTAGGAGGCATACATTGCTGAGGTAGTACTGGAATAATGGGAGGGGTTGAAGTGCAATGAGAGGGGCCAAGGAGAATCAGTTCAGCACCTGTTGAACTTCAGCTGCTGTGCTCCTGAAGAGTTCAATGTATCTTTTACCCAACAAGTCCTTATGCTTCCTCAATGCATTCTGTGCATTCTCCTCACAAGCAAACAGGACAAAAGCATCCCCTGTTGGCCTCCCATCTGGGTAGGTTGACAAAGAGGATGCCTTCTTTCCCCCCAGTAATGGGGCAATGCTGTCCAAAGACGGCTACGACTTCTTTGGCTGTGGCTGTGAAAGGAAGTATTCGGACAATGACTTGATTTTCCTTGGAGACAAACTGGGCTACTTCACTGGATGTACCACCAGGAATTTTACGAAAATCTTCACCTGTTACTTTGTACACCTCAGTGTACTGGGTCCCCATGAGGTGTTTGTGCCTCTGCAGTGCTAGTCTCGGTGTTCTTCGCTTACAAAACCAGTGCTTCTCCATGTCTTCCACCTAAGCATTCAGAAAAAGTGTAGCACCTCCCTTGGCAATATTCTCCTTTGAAGAATCTTGCAATATCTTGATCCAAAGACTGCCATGGTAAACCCCATGTTCTACTACAGTATTATTGTCAATAAGTTCCATCTTGCAGCACGGGCCACTTTCAAATTTGTAATTTACTCTTTCTGGATGGGAAAATCTGTGATTTTAGGGCTCCGAGATCATTGCTAAAATTATATCCCCCATATCTTCAACTTGAGAAGCTCCATATTGGGAAACTGAACTATTTTTCTCAAAATTCAAACACTGTCATCACTGCAACATCCATTTTTTCAGTATCAGGTAAACCAGGACAACACTTCTTGAATTCTTTTTGGGGGAAAAAAAAAAAAAAGAAGCAGCATTCAGGCAGTAAGACATTCTTTTTGGAAGCCTCAGGATGCAGGATTTGCCTAACATGAAGCTGTCCATCAGTGCAGAGATAAAAGGAAGTCCCTTACCCAATATTCAGTTCATTGCTCACTGATTGGTTAAAACTGTCCGAGGGCTTGGTCCAGCTGCTGTGCTGAGAACAGGCTTTCGGCATCTATCTTAGTTTCTTCTTTGCAATCCTCCATCAGTTACAACTGATCCGGTCTAACAAGTACTTCGTGCAACTGCTCAACCTTCTCGTTGGCCAGATCCACCACTTTCCACACCAGCAGGATCAGCTCCTTTTCATCCGAACCCAGCTTGGCCCTGGTGGCCCCAGCAGTGATCCCAAAAAGCACCACCAGGTAATCCAGAGATGCCCTCATGACGATAGGTGAGGAGGGGGAAGGGGAGGGTGGGGGGCCATGAGGTGGGGTGGAAGCGAAAAAGAGAAAACCTATGCTAAACCTCTCCTCAGAGAAAAGAAAGCATGCCCACCCACCCCCTCCTCACCGCCACCGGTGCAAAAGGTGGTAACTAGCCACCCAAGTCCACACCTGGCCTGTGCTCCACATCCAGGGCAGGAAGGGGAGGTGGGCCCTTCCTGGGTCTTTTTGAAAAGAATTAAAAAAATTAAGTTCCTTACAGCTCAGTATCTGGAGATTACTCTAAAACGTACAGACAGGCCCGTATGAGGTTTAATATCAAAACCATACGCATCTAAAGGGGCTGAGGTTCCAGTGCAAGTTTGTACATGGAAATAGTCTGTGTTATCTTTGCTGGGGAGTTAAAAAGGATTTTTTAACTTAGGAAAATACTATGACTGTGACCTTTAAAAAACAATATAAATATTTTTACTCTTCCAAATATAATCCCGGAAATATTTTAACTATTAGGCAGCATTATTAGAAAAGACAAATATTGCTTAAAATAAAATAAACTATAGGCTAAGGGAGCAATGGACATTATGACTGCTCTTTAGAGAGCACAAGATTCATGACTTACTGTTTAATAAAAATGTCACAGACACACAAGATGTTTTTGGGTACACGTGCATTTGAAAAGAATGATTTCAGCATACCCCATGGCTTTAAGATAAATGAGAGAAATGATTTCCTAAAACTATCAGGAGACTGTAATAGTCAAGTTAAAACACTGATTATCTGTCCTCTATAGCACCTTTTGCCCTCCAGTCTCCATTATTTAAATAATGTTTCCTCCCCTAGAATGCCCAAGGTTTAAACAAATTAGCCATATGCTAGAAACTAAGGAATGATCTGCGTTTACTGTTCCCGCTGTATGTTTCAACATCTTACAAATATTGCTCAAACACTGTTATTGTTGTTATGTGCTGTGAAGTCAGTTCTGACTCACTGCAACCTTGTACAGGGTTTCCGAGGCTGTAAATCTTTACGGGAGCAGAAAGCCTCATCTTTCTCCGGTGGAACAGCTGGTAGTTTCGAACTGCTGACCTTGTGGTTCACAGCCCGATTCGTAATCACTACGCTACCAAAGCTCCTTTAGGAGGTAGGTAATCTTGAAGGGCACTTTCTCAATTCCAGCTATCCACATTGAAGTCAGTCAATTTGACCCCCAATAACCTCACATTCCAGTTCCAATAGTACGCACACAGCACATCACTTCACAATGGACAGAAGAACTATGACAGCAAATACCCTGGAAAGGATACCACATTAGAACCAGTTACTAATTTTGGTGAAAATTTCAGAGATGAGATACATACCTGTACCACAGGATCTTTTGGTTGGTGTGACTAATGAGACATGAGCTGTATCTGTGCATGGCCCACCTAGAAACAGAAAGACAGGTACATCAGTCAGGACATATCTTCTACATAGAACAACCTGCACACATCCATGAAGAAGGTGGTGATGGTAGGGTTAATTATAAAGTTGGCAGTTCAAATCCACCAGTTGTTCCTTGTAAACCCTATACAAGGTCACCATGAGTTGGAACAGACTCGATGGCACTTAACAACAATAATTTTGTTCAGCAATTAAATAGTTTTTCTGTATTAAAGCCCTGGTGTGGCGTTAGAGAGTAAGTGCTGGACCGCAAGACTGGTATGAACTGCAAAGAGAGCAGTTCAAACTCACCAGATGCTCCTTGGAAACCCTATACAGGGTTGCTGTGAGTCAGAATCGATTCAATGACACTTAACAACAACAACATATTACAATATGACTTTTCATTAAAAAAATAATTGAGACCCTCATATAATATTAAGAGGTGATAAGTTAATTTTTCACTAGACTACAAATCCACTAAATCCAGAGCAAACAGTCCATAAGTTTGGGTAGAAACGTTCAACCACAGAGATAAAAGTAAGTGTTATCCCTTAGGCTGATCTCAGTGGTCACTCCTTCTTCGAATTTATTGCAAAACTAGCTTCATTTTAAGGAGGAAACACCGTAAGAAACAATAAACTTTTTGTGAAAGAAGAAAGATCATTGTAATATAAGATAAGGAGAGTTTGTTGACCAAAATATCTAGTTTAACTACAGACGTATAACATGAAGGTGACCTTCATTGGACTTTGGTGGGTTCAGAGATCTGATGTATAGGTGTAATCCAAGAATATGCAACAGATGTAATTATTCAGTGATGAAAGCTTGAAAAGCAATAGTCCCATTCTACAGAAATAGGGCCACTAACAAATTCTGATGTTGATACTGACCACTAAACGTCCTCAACCCTCTGAAACAGAAAGCTTCTATATACATATTCAGACCAGTGGTTCTTGACATGCCCTGGAAGTTGTAATGGTCAGAAAGGAACTAGAACACAGAGGCAAATGTTATACATATATTTTTAAAAGGTTTCCTCAGTTACTATGATTAACAAAGGGATGACACATGATTACTTGGCATAGTTATATGGCAATGTACAGCAACTATTATTCATCTACCAATTGAAGTTACACAGTGAAAAGCAAGGAAAGATGGAAAGGGCTCTGAGACTTGTTTCTAGAGTTTATGTTTCTGAGATCCATGGTTTTAGGGACTTAGAAAATATCAACAAAAAGATTCACTATTAGCCCACTCTTTCCATACCAACTCTCAGTGTGTGTGAAAAGACCACAGAGTTTTCCTGTGTGTGTGTAGGTATTTGGGGGGTGTGGGGGGCAGGGGGATAAACCACATCAATGTATTAGTCAACTTCAAAGAATACTTAGCAAATATCATGTCCCATAACTGTTAGCTCAAAATTAGAGTAGCTTATAGTCTCAGGAATAGAACATTTATATACATAAATACAGAATAATAAATGACAGCAATAAAGAGCTACATGGAAAATAAATATTAAAATATCAAAAAAATTTTTAAATAAAAAGCAAAAAATATTAAATGCAAGCAGGAAAAAGACGTTCGTCACTGGTCAGCATTACCTGGAAATGCTCCAAAGAATTTCAAGATAAAGCAAGAATATATTGTAGTACTTAGAAAAGTCAGGCCAGAGAGCAGGGCATTTCAGTTGAAAATTGTTCTACAAACGTCACATTCAGCAGAGAAAGCTTAATCTACTAAAGCTCCAAAGGTTCAAATAGGCAACTGTGACATGCAAACAAGCAATGTGACAGGAGGTAAGGCGCTACAGGAAAACTTAATACAGACTCTACATTCTCCAGAGCCTTCTGACCATTAGTTTCTACAATTCCATAAAATGATGTAGCTTCTGGTTCCAGGCAATTAATAGATATTTTTTAAATTTAAGAATTTTCATTACCAGCCTATTTCAGCTCACTAATGCCTAAGGTATTGATCTTTATGCATTCCATTTTATTTTTGACAACTTCCAATTATCCTAGATTTATACTTTGTGTATTTCATATTCCAATTATTGATGGATGTTTGCAGCTATTTCTCTTCATTTTGAATTGTGCCCTATCAGCACAAAAGCTTTACTTGATTAGCACCATCACAGTCAACTCTCCTTTAAGGTGGCAGCTCTTTCCCAGTAGCATTTTGAGTGCCTTCCAACATCAAGAGGAATGGCAATCATCAAGAATGTATTTCAAGATCTTGAAGTACAATGCTGACTATGATATGATGTTATCCATATGCCTACAAGGAAACCATTTAACACCACTATTATTCAGATTTACAAACCAACCACTAAAGCCATGGAGGACGAAATTGAAGAATTCTATCAGCTTCTTCAGTCTGAAATTGTAAACCATGTAATTAAGACATAATGAAAATTACTGGTGATTAGAATGCAAAGGTTGGAAACAGAGAGGAAGGATCAGTAGTTGGAAAATACGACCTTGATGACAGAAATGGTGCTGGAGATTACATGATAGAATTTTGCAAGATCAACTGACTTCTTCCTTGCAAATACTTTTTTTAAATCACATAAAAGATGATTGTACACTTTTATGTGGTTTAACCAGATGGAATAACCAGAAATCAAACTAAGTACATCTCTGGAAAGAGACAGTAGGAAAACTCCATATCATTAGCCAAAACAAGGCCAAGGAGAGACTCTGGAACAGATCATCAATTGCTCATATGAAAATTAAAGCTGAAGAAAATTAAAACAAGTCCATGAGAGCCAATATATGACCCTGAACATATCCCACATAAATTTGGAAATCATCTCAAGAATAGATTTGATGCATTAGATATTAATGAGTTGTGGGATGGTATCAAGAACATCATACAGGAAGAAAGTAAAACATCATACAGGAAAAAAGTCATCAGGAAGACAAGAAAGAGAGAAATGATCAAAATGGATGTCAGAAGAGGCTATGAAACTTGCTCTCCAGAGTAAAGATGCTAAAGCAAATGGAAGAAATAAGGAAGTAAAAGAGGTGAACAGAAAATGTCAAAGGACAGCTGGAGAAGACAAAGTACTATAATGAAATGTACAAATACCTGAAGTTAGAAAACCAAAAGGGAAGAACACACTGAGCATTTCTCAAGATGATAAAGCTAAAGAAAAAATTAAAGCCTCTACTTGCTTTAAATGTTGAAGGAATTCTATGAGCAAAATACTGAATGATGCAGAAAGCATCAAAAGAAGATGAAAAGTATACACAGAGTCACTGTATCAAAAAGAAATGGTCTATGTTTAACCACTGCAAGAAGTACCATATGATCAAGAACCAATGGTACTGACAGACCAAGTTCAAGGTATTTAACAAAAAGCCAGGCTCCAGGAATTGACAGAATAAAATTGAAATCTTTTAACACACTGATGCAACATTGGAGGCACTCACTCATCTACGGCAATTAATTTGTAAGACAGAACACTACGGATAATTGATTGGAAGAGATGCATATCTGTGCCCATTCAAAAGACAGGTGACAGACCAGAATGTGAAAATCACTGAATGATATCATTAATATCACATGAAAGCAAAAATCAGTTGAAGTTATTTCAGAAGCAGTTTTAACAGTACACCAAAAGGGAACTGCCAGAAACTCAAGCTCAGTTCAGACAAGGACGTGGAACACAGGTTGTCATTGTTGATGCCTGATGGATCTTGGCTGAAATCAGTGGATACCAGAAAGATGTTTACTTGTGCTTCATTGACTATGCAATGGCTTTTGGTTATGTGGGTCATGACAAGCTATGGAATAGGAAGAATGGGAATTCCAGAACACTTGACTGTACTCATAAAGAACCTGTATAGAGATGAAGAAACAGTTGTTAGAACAGAACAAGGGAATTCTGAGTGGCTTAAAACCAGGAAAGGTGTGCATCGGGGCTGTATTATTTCACCACACTTATTTAATCTGTATCCTGAGCAAATAATCAGGAGAACGTGGCTAAAATATAGATTCTCAGAGGGCTACCTCTAGAAATTCTGATGCAATAAAATGGAGTAAAATTAAAGATATGTACATTTTTAAACCAGCTGAGCACAATTAGTATTAGCATCCCACTTAGTTTCAACCTCTGCTAAAATATCCTTTAATCCCCAGCTCAATAAGTGGACAGGATCACTGAGTTCCCATCACATAGTGAACTGCACAGAGCTTAAGAGTCAACAGCAGTTTAACTATGCATACATTTTTTGAAGGACATATAATAATTCATACAGCAAAATTTTAAGAGTGGGCAAAAGTGTCAAATAAAAACTCCTAAAGAAATTTGGTCAGACTAATGAATTAACATGCTTATGTTTTCAAATATCCTAGACAATTATTAAGTTAATTTTTTATCTCTTTTTTAGGTAGAATGTTCCTTTTTTAAATTCCTAGTGAATGTATTTTTGTAGGTTTTAGAAAATACGCAAATAACTTTAAAGCTACCTAGCATATCACATGTATCATCATGAAAGTGTCCTCTAGAGAGCTTGTTAAACTAACAACCCAATCCAATGTAGTCACTACATTACAGTAATGTACAAATGGAACCATAGTTGAGCCAAGACAAATTGACAGCAAGACTAACTAGCACTGATAAAATATCCCAGCTTTGATAATTGGGCAATATTATAAACAGAGAGCTTGGAATTAAGTTTGGTCTGGCAAACTATAACCTATGAAACATTTTAAGATACAGGACAGAAGCATGCGAGCATAACATATATATTCAACACTAATTATACCATCACACAAAATTCCTATTACTCTCAAATAAAAGTAGTAGTCACTGGAGATTATGGTATCTAGCTTTACAAAATTAATTTCAAATCACTCTGCAAAATCAAATGCAGAACTTAAAGGACACTCAAGGGAAACCTTTCACGGTTTTTGTCCATAGCAGTAAAAATAAAATGGATCTCATGTTGTTATAGTAAAAATAGTAGTCAAAATTTGGAGAGATGGTAAGGAGTCA